TATCCAGTGAATGCGAAGGCATGACAGTGATTACAATTGCTCACCGGATTTCAACTGTTTTGAATATGGATAACATTCTGATTCTTGACCACGGGAACCTGGTATGTTTTATTTTCTTTAACTTTCTACTTGACAAAAGGGTAAGAACTAGCTCAAGGTCATTCGTTGTTGTCAGCTTCATTGATTTACCACTACTGAATTGTCCGGGAATAGGTGGACCTTGTGCATGATTTTATTTAGATTGTAAAGAACCAATTCAACCCAAAAGCTTAAGCTATTGGGTGAGGCTACATTAATGATTTTATATATCTCAACACACTCCCTCACACGAGAGCCCACTGGGCTTGAAGAGTGGACAATGCACAGGCCCACCTACATATACGAAGAAAGAAATTTCACTAGAAAGAAAGTGGGGACGGTGAGGATTGAACCCGGTACACCGAGGCTCTGATACCATGTAAAGAATCAATTCAACTCAAAAGCTTAAGCTATTGGGTAAGACTACATTAATAATTTTATATATCTCAACATAAATGAAAGTTTAAATTAAAGAAACCTTACTCAACTTCACAATGTTTGTGTATTGGCTGTGATCAATTTAAAGTTACCCCTGTGGCTCTCGTTATTAACCAACATGAAATGACATGAGCTTTTTCTTTTCTTTTCTTTTTTTTTTTCCCTTTTTTGACTATCTTGTGTCTGTGTAGGCTGAACAAGGAAATCCACAGGTTCTTCTGAAAGATGACTCCTCTATATTTTCTAGTTTTGTCAAAGCTTCATCAATGTAACCATCCAAGGTGGCTGCTTGCATTTGATTATGAGATCAAACAAACGTCAAGTTTTGTTCTTTGTTGATCTCTAGTCATGCGAATATCAAATTGCTGTGGCCAGTAATTGACATCACACATCATCCACAAAGACTGCCAGATATGATTCTCAGCAGTAGTATCATATTAGGTGTTTTGGGTCTTTTTTTTTTTGGTCAACTTCTTGTAAAATATCAAACCTGAACTAGCTTGTATGTTGTCTGATAAAAGACCATAGATCATTGCTAATGCTAAGTAAGTTCCGTCCAGATCAATACAAACTCAAAAGTATGTTTGACTTTTCTTCAAAGTTCCAAATCTATTTAATAGAACCCCACATTTAGTTAGCAAGTGACAGATCTCATTGATAACAATTTTCAGATACCATGTCAAATCACTTAATTTCATAGCTAATATAATGTAGGGAAATATTATTCTTATGCAACATAAGATAACATCTTTTTCCTACACACCCATTGATTTCCGTGTAGTTTAATTTGTAATTTTTTATTTTTTATAAGTGAGTGGACCCCACCTATAATTGTGTCTATGGTAGGAGATAACACTCTCCTACAACATGAGATTACTAAATCCCTATAATGTAACTACATAAATCACAACATCATTTGATACAATATCTCATGGAAAATTTTGCAAGCATTAATGTTTAAGAAGCCAACTGCCAAAATCATGTAGCTCACTTTCCATGCAAAAAGATTTGGCAGTGTTCCTGCGCCAATGTTAACGATATTTTTTCAAGACTTGTGGAAAATAGTAAGTTGGAGTACTTAGTTATGTCATATTTATAAACTCGATCAATTAATTGAACATAACGGTTTCCATCCAACCTCTTTGTTATTTTCTTCAGTTCAATTTTAATGATGAGTAATGAATCAGCTACATTTTTCTTGATAAAATCTCTGTTAAATTATGCATATATATGCTATTGCAGTTCTAATTACTAATTAGTGATGATGAAAAGGAAAGGCATTGATTATCTTATATAAAATAGGGAAATAATTTTTTTATTTTGTAGGAAAATAATTATTTTATAGAAATAAGATTACAAGTAGAACTCATAAGTAAGAGGAAATGGAAAAAAAAATGAGATTTACCAATCTTTTGTATATATAGTAAATTTAATTATTTCATGTAAAACGAGATAAATATAATTTTATAAAATAAAGGATAATCAGTTTTGCTGTTATCAGATAATTGACCCCGTTGCTGCGAAGAGAGCCACACGTGCGGCCCTTGATGCTTGCCAGAAATTTTAGAAGTACAGGAAGCCTCGTATGCAATCCCTGCTGACCCAAGTTCTGTGTTTCAGCCCTAGATTCTTACCTACTGCTGCAAAAGCAAGGAAATTAAAAGCTGATCTTGCCGCTTTGGTTTCTTGTTTTACATTCATTCACATTGAGTTGATAAGTAGTATCAATCATAGAAAGTGCTAATTCATATGATAACATATTGTTCTTTATCGAGTGAATTTGATCAAATAATTGACTCCACTTTGCTGGCTTGAAAACACACTGAATTATGGACTAGAGAGAGTTTGGGCTATTAGATATGTGAAAGGTTCTCCTTGGTAAGCATTTTTGCAGACTTTCTTTTTTTAGTGTTAAAGACCAAATAGGGCCTCGATAAATTTATTAGGGACCAAATAGGGCCTTCGATGTTAGGGTCAGCTGTCCAAAACTCCAAGAAGACATAAGGCATATTCAAAACGGCGTCGTATTACTTCCACGCTGGCATACTTAATGGTGACTCAGCAAACTAACGTTCCACGTGTGCTCCGTTAGTTGGGTCGTTGGATGCCAACTAACGGAAGGACAAACGTGGCCCTGTTTTTGTAAAATTAAGGACCAAAATGAGCCTTTTTTATTGTTGGGGACCAGAAGGGGCTTCGTGAAAATTGTCAAGGACGAAAAAGGGTATTTACTCTATTTTGAAAATAACTTTTTTTTTCTAGTGTGAAGGAATGTTTATGGGTAAGGTTATATTTACCGTAATTTTATTTTTACCACTTGATCGGTTCAATTCAAATTGGACTGCGCTTAATTACACACACAGTTAAAGTGTAAGATGTTAATGAAGAAAATGAGAGATAGCATTGGAGCTTGCCTAGATGTCAAATAGCTTTGGCAAGATAGTTGATCAACATTTTGTCTATATGTGTAGTTTGAGAGCGACTCGGATAGGTACATGAAAAGTCACTTCAACGCTTAAGTCAGTTCAGTATTCAAGGAGATTCAAGTATTCAAAGAGAGATATCATATTTTAGCTTCTGTATTTATAGTGCTTGAGCGCCTTTGTATCTTCCCATCTTTCATAAGATTATATTCACATTTATTGGAGGAGAAGGGTGGCCTCAAGCTATTCCTTGGTGGGCAAGCCTATGTTCAGTAGTAGCTTCAGTAAATATAGTGGCAATCAGGAGCTATCATTCATTCACCGATTCCTGGTAGTGGCCAACTTGTCTGAGCTGCTGATCTAGGCAATGATGGTTCCTTTCTACAAGGGATGAGTTTGCCTTGATGGCTAAGTCACTGGGGTTTCTAGGCTCTTGGGCCTTTATTTCGCATGTAGTAGGTCCAGATCACCACTCTTATTATATGATTAGTTATCATTGGATCAATTTAAAATCAATAGTTGAAAAAGAAAAAGAAAATTAATATAACAATAACCAAACAAGTAATAATGACAAACCTAGAATAGTGGTAAGTATAACTGTCTCATGTTAATATGCAATTTTACAAATGTTGAGTTGAACACATTATGCAAGGACCATGGGCTAAGAAAGAACGCAACAATAGATTTTGAATGCATATTAATAAGGGATTGATGTTTTTCATGTTATAAAATATAGTTTTATTTTCTACACACATAAAAGTATGTGGGATCCATATTATCTTTTTCTCTTTTTTTCTCTTCACACGACTTCACATGAATCTCACAAACTTTTTTTTTTTAAGTAATATCAAGGGTATCCTCCAGCCGTAACCAAAAACTAATCCTCATTCTCACACACTTTTAAGTATATATAGGAGATAAAAGTATCTCATATAACATAAGAAATATTAATCTTATTTTATAATAGGGAGTCTTTTAAGTAATGGAGAAATTTAATTTACGTGAATAATCAATTTAACGTTTCCTCCCAAATGCGTCGTATCAACATCTGACTTTGCTGCCCTCCCTAAATGGGTAATTAAAGAGTTGTTTGAGTGTGTTATGATTTTTTTGTTCTTAAAACTGTTTTTGTAGAATAGTTACGGAAACAAATATTTTCTATTTTTTTATTTTGAACGTTAAAAAGGCTATTTGACCATTTTGTGTCTCATTAATTAATTAATAACCATTTTGCCCATGATTCGAAACTATCTATCAATCTGCCCCTCTTTAATCGACTACTTTGCATGTTTAATCGACTAAATGGTTGTTGGGAGATTTAATCGACTAAATCTCCCTACTTAATCGATTAAAATCATACTGACTTATTTTTTTGTCAAATATGGAGATTTAGTCGACTAAATAGGGAGATTTAATCGACTAAATCTCCCAACAACCATTTTTTGTCTATTTTGACCATTTAGTCGATTAAAAATGCAAGGTAGTCGATTAAAGAGGGGCAGATTGATAGATAGTTTCGAATCAGGGACAAAATGATTATTAATTAATTAATAAGGTGAAAAAGCCCGTTAAAAACAAAAAAAAAAAAAAAAACAACTCAGACATGTTCTATAAATTTGATTCTGAAAACAAAAAAATAGTTACAGTTTTTAAAATATTTTTTACAAAAGAGACTTTACTAAATGAGTTTTTTTAATTTTTTTATTTGGAAAACTATAAAACTATTTTTAGAAACAATAATCAAAGAGAGCCTAAGTCACCATAGTACTATATATATGCACCACTTGCTTTGTTTAGTTTCCTTAATAATAATTAATTACTTGTGTTTTCGTAGTTGGTTCACCCAATTGTAAATTTTACATTACCCACCCTCAACTGAATGATCGGTTCAACTACTTTTAGAGTTTATAACTTTTTATAAACATTAAAAGGTCGTATTAAAATTTATATAAAAATAAACGTAAATTTTTTCACAAATGACAATAACGTGAAATTTTAATGTAAAAAAGAATCTTTTTTCTGACTTTCATATCATTTCAAATGTACTCTCATAAAGCAATAAATAATATTAAGAAAAAAAAAAAAAAAAAGAGAGTGAGAGACAACACATATTGAGAATAACAACATCGGCATCGGAGTTTCCTCAAATTGGATTGCCATAATCGCTGCTTTCCTTCGGAGCTGCCTAAGTTCATTGTTTCTCTGTCGTCTTTGTCTTTCATGGCCTTGCTTCTACCTCTCTCGATTGCATTTACTTCTTCATTCTTCCCAACCATATAACATATAATAATAACCTTAATATCAATATATATTTATATATATATTCCTTTTCTTTGCGTTGCATACATAGTAATTTGTTCGCAGTTGTTGTATATGGCGAATGCATCTGGGTTGTTCACTCCTTCGATTCCCAAGTTGAGAGTGAGGGTTCGGCCTCTCACAAGCATTCATCGATTTGATGGTTTCTCCGCCAAAGTTGTTTGCTTTGGTTCCATCGAAGGAGCTGAGAAGCATGCTTCCACAGTTTCTCCTTCCCAATCTCGGATACCCAGGTCATTTTTTCTTCTTCTTTTTCGATCTAAATATGTTTCCATGCTGCTTTGCATTTAAAGATTTGATTTTGATCGACACCCAACAATTTTGGCATCACTGCCAAACATTCTAGTTCTAGTTCTAGTTCTAATTCTAGGTTATAAAATCAGACTTATTAATGTTATTTGGGATCAACATGAGATTGCCCCATTTTGTTTTTGTTTTGTTTTTTTAACTCTTATTGAAGAGTCTGCACTCTACAGGCTTGTCAGTAAAGGCTGCAAGTTAATTGGATGTGGTTCTGCTGTGCCAACTCTTCAGATTTCTAATGATGACCTTTCAAAAATAGTTGATACTTCTGATGAATGGATATCTGTTCGCACTGGGATTCGTAGACGACGAATTCTTTCAGGTTAGTTATTGGTAGTAGTCCTAGTCCATGCTAATGTTATCATAAACAAAATAGGTCTGTGGTTAGATTACACTTCCTGCTTTTAGTTTAGGCTCTTGATGATAAATTGGCAAGGGTATTGATCAGAAATCAGGCATCTCAAGGGTTGTTTGTCAAAGGCTGAAACTTTCATATATGGAGCATTGCCATCCCCATTCTTCTTTTCATAAGATAATCCCATGATAAGGGAAAGATTCGTTTACAATTTTTTTTTACAAATTACACTAAGTCTGACCGGTCATACACTCTTGATTGAAGTATGACCGGTCAGACATAGTGTAGTTTGTAAATAAAAAGTTTATAAATATAACCTTCCCCGATATATAAATCAAAACTTATTTAATTTTTTTTTTGGGAATTTTATAGTATGATGATGGATATGGCTTTCTATTGCTTGATGTTGTGCTTGCAGGCAGAGACAGCTTGACATCATTGGCGGCAGAGGCAGCTGGGAAAGCTCTTGAGATGGCAAAGGTTGACCCTGATGACCTTGACCTAATATTGATGTGCACATCTACACCGGAGGATCTTTTTGGTAGCGCTCCACAGGTATGGGTTCAAGATGTATCTTATTGAGAATAGTTTGTTACATTTTTTCCATTATCTTTAACCTTAGCAAAGTAATCTGTATTTTTACATTAAGACATTTTAAGTAATTAATGGAGTATTTGATCAATTATGATATTGCAAACTCCCTCTTGCAAATGATTAAGTATTGAGGTTATTACTGTTCTCTTATCTCTCCAAGATCGGGTATCTGCTTTATCCATTCCTATAATTTTAATTGTCCTTGTGAGTTGCAGATTCAAAAGCAACTTGGCTGCAAAACAAATCCATTGGCTTATGACATTACAGCTGCATGTAGTGGATTTATATTGGGTTTAATATCAGCTGCTTGTCACATTAGGGGTATGAATTGGTTATACTGTTGACTTAGTACTTGCTAAATGTGGTGAAAATCATTGCCCTTTATCTGTGTGAATGCAGGGGGTGGATTTCATAATGTTCTAGTTATCGGGGCTGATGCTCTTTCACGATATGTTGATTGGAGTGACAGAGGGAGCTGTATCCTTTTTGGGGATGCTGCCGGTGCTGTATTAGTACAGGTAATTGTGTATCTTCCTGTATTTGTGCAACATTTGTAACAATGTCCGGAAGCAGTTTGGATCTTGTTTCTTAGCTATTACTATTAGTTGTTGGTTATGTTTATCTTTTCCTTTTTACTATGAAAGCAAGGTTTTGGGAATCTTTTGTAAAATTTAAGATAATAGCAAACTTTTGTCTTAGTCCTTGAACTAACTGTTCAAAATTGCAAATAAAATATTAAATGAAGTTGAGATGAAGTCTGCTGTCCCTATGTTTTCTCAAGATTTATTGTTGCTTAAGAGTGATAGTGAGCTGATGCTTTTTTCTTCGAAGAGAAGTCTTTTCTAGTAAAGGGATATAAATTGATGTCATTGCTCCGATATTATGATTACATTGCAGGCCTGCAACAGTGAGGAAGATGGTTTATTTGCTTTTGATTTGCATAGTGATGGCAGTGGTCAAAGGTACATACTTCTCATATTATTCAAAAGATCTGTTCTCTTCTTCCCGTAAGCTATGTTATTAAGCACCTACTCTCACTTCATGTAGGCATTTGAATGCTCTCATTAAAGAAAACGAGTCAAATAATGCAATGGATTCGAATGGTTCTGTGTTAGACTTCCCCCCTAAGCAGTCCTCATTTTCATGCATTCAAATGAATGGCAAAGAGGTCTTTCGCTTTGCTGTACGATGCGTGCCACAGTCAATTGAATCTGCCCTTCAAAAGGCTGGTCTCCCTGCATCTAGCATTGACTGGTTACTTCTCCATCAGGTACACAAATTGATCTATAAAACAAAACTCTGGCATGTCATCTAATGTACATATATATATAACCCGGGAATGTATGCCTGAGAGTATTACTGATGAATGAACCAAATCTTTCATCTGTTGTCTTCGTATAGCATAACTGTTGCTTATAAAAATGTGATTATAATTTAGGGGATAGGTAATATCTATTGGTTGAATCACTAGTGCAACTTGCTATGACTTCTTCAAATGGGTGGACAAAATGGACATGTACTTTTACATCCATGTGCAATGCGTTTATATTTATGGCATCCTAGGTGGATAGAAGGTGGCTATTACTTTGAAATTAATTTGTACTTTTGTTTTCATGTAAAAAGAATGGGAAATATAAATTAAAAGGGTAGAGAAACCTGATCTATCCTTTATATCCAACGATTCAATAGCTGCACGTGGGTTATAGTATCACTTTGCTAAGTGGTAAGATCTAATTTTACAATTGAAAATAAAGTAAATTTGAGTAAACTTGGTAAGTGCATAGCATACATGATAATATCTTTACTTGGAGAAAGGAAGGTTATATAGACTTGATAATAAGTGCAGGCAAACCAGAGGATTATTGATGCAGTAGCCACTCGGTTAGAAGTGCCATCAGAAAGGGTGATATCAAATTTGGCTAATTATGGAAACACAAGTGCAGCTTCAATTCCCTTAGCTTTAGATGAAGCAGTTCGAAGTGGGAAGGTTAAGGCTGGCCAAACTATTGCAACTGCTGGCTTTGGCGCTGGTCTTACTTGGGGTTCAGCAATTGTTCGTTGGGATTGATTTCTTGTCTTTCACGGCAATATTGCAGCAAATAGAGAAGACATATTTGGGTGCAGATAACCCTGCTTTCTTACACATTTGTTGAAATGGCGGTTTTGTGAGTTTGTAGAACGATAAGAATAACATGCAACACTCCCTCAACTTGTCCTTTTCGTTTTCTTTTTGTCTTCAATTCACATTCTCCTTTGTCTTCTTTTCTCAAGTATCCGAGATATATGTATTTGTCATTCAGATTTATTTTGAACGAGGCTTATTATTTATGTTTATCAATGGTACTTGTAAATAAAATTGCAAGCATGGAAGTGTCTGCTTGCTTATACTCAAAACTTGTCCCCACCAAACAACGACTTCATTTAAATATTTGTCCTTTTATCAGAACATTTTTTTTTTTCTTTTCAAAAGAAAAAATGGAAGCATGGGAGTTTCAATTTTTAGCGACGTTAGAACGTCGCCGCAAGACCGGTGTTAAATCCATTAGCATAACTTACTCAGCGATAAATATTTGAAGCTCTCTCTTTCTCTCTCTGTATATATATATATTAATTAATTATTGAAGGTTATAAAATGAAAACTAATGGCATTGTATGTATTTGTTTAAGTTTTATTCAAAATAATAATAATATTCAAAATTTTCATTCTTAATTTTTTACAAATAAAGTAGTTAAATACCAAGATAACATAAAATCTTTGATCGGGGGTGTGTTCATCAACCGATCCAAATCGATTTAAACCACGGTAATCGAACCGAAAAACCAAAAACTGAATAAACTGAAAACCGAAAAATTAAAAACAAAAAAAAAATCGCAAATTTTAATTGGATTGGATCGATTTTCGGATAGGTTGATAAAAACTGATTCAATCCAAACCGATCTAATATATTAATTTTCTTTTACGTACTTGGACTTTTCCCCAATCATAACCCAAAAATTTCTAAACCCAAGACATGTTAACCCATCAACTACACTCAAGAAAAAGTCAAATCACATCTCATCAACAAAATTTCATTTGTGTAGAACTTCAATCTCATTGCTAAAAAAAAACTATACTATCGTTTACTGCTTTTGTATTTCAAAAATAAAATAAAATTATAAAGTCAATATATACAAAAAATGTTATTTGCACAATAATCATGAAACAAATTCTAGGATTTTCAAAAAATCGAAAACCGATTCAATCCAAACCGAAAAAAATTGGATTGGATCGGATCAGATTAGAAAAAAATCCAAACCGAATGGATGATTAAATGATCAAACCGAAGATATTGGATCAGATAATTTTTTCTTCCAAAACCAATTCAATCCAGACCGCGAACACCCCTAATAAGAGGACATTCCTAATCTGAATAAAAGCTTTCAAAGTAAGTTATATATTCTTTTCATATAAATAGCAATAAGTTGCCGATAAGTTTGTTGGTGGTTTTTGTGGATATATATAATATGGGTTTTATAAGAGTTATGTTGTAGGAAAAATGATTGTGTTATGTTATAGAGATTCGTTTTGCGTGCCGAAGTTTTTTTTTTTTTTTTACTGCGGGTCCCACAAAATGTTGTGTGTGTAGGAAATTTTTTGTGGTCATGTTAAATGATAGATGATAAACCCATATAATATATATAGTGGGGCACGCACGCACATGTTAAGTTAAGTTAAGATGAGAAGTATCTCAAAGAAAGTAATATGACATTTAAAGTAGGGAGGGACCGCTTTTATCTGCTCCTACATTAACATGCCCACACTTTTATTCACAAAAAATGTACATTCTCCACCAAACGTGTCGCTGTTTTTCTAGTTGTCCAACCAAATGTATAAAGCCCCAACAAGATTATGAATGGACGTCACAGATTTCTTTATACAGATAAAGAGATGAATGCACTCTTTGCTTTCCCCCATTCATTTTATCTTCATTCTTCTTGTTCTTTTGTTGCTTACTATTTCTCTTCTTTTTGCTAAGTCATGTCATGTGATTTGAGTTCTTCTCTACTCTAAAATACTTGAATTTTCTCACTTTCTCATATTCCTTTATCTCTGCTCAAGTTATTATTTTGAAGAGAGACCAAAATGGCTGTGGCTATGGCTGCTTGCAGTCTTGGACTTCACTTGAGTGCTGATAACAGCTTGAGAGCTTTGGATAAAACCATTTGCTGTGCCCCTTTCCTCAAGTCCTCCTCTGTGTTTGATGCTACTAAACCATGTTACATTCTTCACAAAACAAGGTATGCTGAGTTGGATTCTTTGTTGCTTGTATATAGTAGAATTCAAGCTTCTATTATGTTGTCCTTTTTTTCTTGTAGTCAGTTTCTGCTGTAATATTTCACTTCACGATTTACTTTAATTCAATTAACACTCCTAAAAACTCTTGGTGCACAAAAATATCTAATGGAACTAATGGATAATATGTTTTATTTATTTAGCCCTTATGTTGCAACCTTAAATCTTGCCATAGTTGTATGTAGAACACTTGGAGGTTTTAGTGTGATCTGATTGAGTAAGATAGTAGGCAGGATGAATACTGAAAACATTCATTGATTAATATCTTCAATTTCTGGAAGGCTTAAAAAGTGTAACCTGCTAGGACTGCGCACAATGATGTGTTCATTATCTGTTAATTGTATGGGTAAAGAACCAATTCAACCCAAAAGCTTAAGTTATTGGGTGAGGCCACGTTAATGGTTTTATATATCTCAACACCCTCCTCACACGAGAGCCCACTGAGCTTGAAGGGTGGACAATGCACAGGCCCACCTACCTGTGCAAAGAAAGAAATTCCACTAGAAAGAAAGTGGGGGCGGTGAGGATTGAACCCGGTACACTAAGGCTCTGATACCATGTAAAGAACCAATTCAACCTAAAAGCTTAAATTATTGGGTGAGGGCACATTAATGGTTTTATATATCTCAAGAGTATGTACTATTTTCTCAGATTGTCATCTTCAGGAATTACAAACATCCCTCGAGCAACAACAACTGTGACTGATGTGGAGGTATTTAGCAACATCAACCAATACGGTTGTCATTTTTATTGCATGTGAATAGGCACTACTTCCATTTTTCTCATGCTTGTTGACTTTCATACTTAAACATTTGCTTTCAACTTCTCTTTTGAGAAAAGGATGGAAATCAAGGTGAGGCTGATACCATTCCAACTCCCATAGTTATAATTGATCAAGACTCTGATCCAAATGCAACTGTGGTGGAGATAACCTTTGGTGATCGACTTGGGGCACTTCTTGATACTGTTAGTCATTCTCTAAAATATATTGGTGCTCATGTTTTACTTATCAAACACTTTATATATATATACACATATATATGTATGTGGTGTAATATATATATGTGTGTGTATGTATGTGTATATTTGTGGGTAGGCAGTTTTCTGATCTGTATTATTTCTTTCAATTTCATTGAGAGATAATTGATGATAAGCGTTAATAAAATGGTTCTAAAATATCTATTCCTTACCTGGGTTTCAGATGAATGCATTAAAAAACTTAGGACTTAATGTTGTTAAGGCAAATGTCTTTCTGGATTCCTCTGGCAAGCACAACAAGTTTTGCATCACAAAAGCGTAAGTTTTACGTGTTATGCAATATGTATGAGTTAGTAATAATACATGGTTACTGTCCTATCCTACATTCCTATCATTGCTCTTGTGTTTTTTTATTATTGCTGAAGTATGCTAAGTCATTGTTAATAATGCCCTTGTTCTGTACTTGTGAATAATAACTTCTAGTACTGAGGTGGCTCCTCTATCATTCAATTATTGTACACAGACAAGAAGAAAAGTTCATTTGAGATAATGTCTAAAGAAATGGAAAAAGAAAATGAATGGCTAAAAAGGTTTTAAGATATTTCAGATATTTGCAAAATGAATTTAGTAGGCACTATTTTCGCAGCCTAACTCCTATGGATGGCTTCTAAAGTAAGGTTCCACTAGGGCTTCTATATTCAATGTAGTCTAGCACAATGAAACTTGTTTGGTTCGTTTTCACCTTTCAAGTTTTTAACTAGATTCTCTACTAATTCATTGAATATGCTGGTGGAGCTTTGTTTGCAGTGATACCGGTAGAAAAGTGGAAGATCCAGAATTGTTAGAGGCAATCCGTTTGACAATTTTAAATAATATGATTCAATATCACCCGGTATGCTTCCCAACTATTCTCATTCTCCTTCTCTTATTTTGGAGCATGATTTGGTTAGATATCATCAGGGAGTTCTGTGCTTTTAATTAGAGTTATGTGTTTCAAACTGTTTTGTCAAGGAATCAAGCGCCCAGTTAGCTCTGGGAGCAGCTTTTGGACTTGTGCCTCCAAAGGAACAGGTGATGAATACTTTGCATGTGTTGGTTTAATTGTCTCTGACCTTATTAGTGGAATCTGGTTTATATATTTTTTTAAATATTTCAGGTTGATGTGGACATAGCAACCCACTTAACCATCACTGGTGATGGCCCAGATCGAAGGTGATGCATCTAAACATCTGCTTCTTCCTTAACATAATAGTTATTCTGATCCAAACAGAAAATTGCTTAGTTGAAACCTCGCATAATAATTTGAGATCTTAGCCCTGACACAACCATGCGCTGAGCATGCTCAACACCACCTTTGAATTTGTTGGAAATCGATAATCGCATGTTGAGATATATAGTCCCACATTGGTTGTATGAGCAACTAATGTGGCCTTTATAAGGCCTTGGGCACTCCTACCCTTAGAGCTAGTTTTTGGGGTGGTGTATCACAAGGTTCTTATCAAGTGGTATCAGAGTCAGGTTGGGCTCGAGCTAGCCTGGTGATTGGCTAGGAGGCCGGTCGAGTACTTTGCGCTTGGGGTACTCGGTTGAGGGGGAGCATACCAATGGTGGGTTTCACACTTGAGGGGGAGATTGTTCTTGAGGGGGAGATTGTTGGGATATTCAAGTGTGATGAGTCCCACATTGGTTGGTAATGGGCTAAGTGAAGAATATATAAGTGAAAGGACCCATAAACCCAATGCCTTAAGGTTCTGGGTTGAGACATAGTGTCGGATCCACTTGCTACGGTTGGTGTAGCCTTAGCTCATTGATGGTGGTCCCCGCCACGGGCTTCAGCATGGACCCACCTGACAGTGGTATCAGAACTGGTTGAAGGCGGTCGGAGGTGTTTGGGTCGTTTGTGGCGGAGGAACGTTGTGTAGAAGGATAAAAAGAAGGTCAATAGTGGTCCCCTTGGTCCAAAAGGTCATCGGAAAAAAATTTCAGGTGGCGGCTGATGGCGGCATGAAGCAAAGAAATTAGGGTAGTGCCCAAGACCTTATAAACTCCACATTAGTTGAGCATACAACCAATGTGGGACTATATATCTCAACACGTCCCCTCACACGAGAGCCCATTGGGCTTGAAGAGTGGATTATGCAACAGGCCCAATCTTTGGTTTACCTTTTTGTGCTTCCACTTTAAAGTGGGGGGCGGTGAGGATCGAACCTCAAGCTCTGATACCATGTAAAGAACCTTGGGATACACCACCCCAAAAGCTAGCTCTTAGGGTGGGAGTGCCCAAGGCCTTATAAACTCTACATTAGTTGCACATACAACCAATGTGAGACTATATATCTCAACACGCCCCCTCACACGAGAGCCCATTGGGTTTGAAGAGTGGACAATGCAACAGGCCCAGCCTACCTGTGCTAAAAAACGCCACAAGAGAAAGTGGGTAGCAGCGAGGCTCTGATACCAACTTGAAAAAGGGTTATCAAATATTATTGAATTGTGTATTAATCTGATACAAAGAGGTCTCTATATATAGAAACTAAAATACCTAATTCTTGACCTAATGAGCTTAGCTCAATACAACAAATACTAATAATAATAAAAGACCTAATATTTACAACATCGCACAACACACAAATAGATAATGAAACGGAAAAGGGTGAGAGAAAATTCATACGGTAATTTATCCTGATTCATTCAATGTATGCTACGTCAAGCTTATCTGTACTATATTGACTTCACCGTCACTCATTACAAGTCACTCAGTTTACAAGAAAATATAAATAGGATTTGAAAAATCCTAACAACAGTTATTCATAGGCTCAAGCCACTAAAAAAAATAAAATTACAATAAATCAGAGATCCACAACAGTCCCTGCACCCAGCAGGAGTGGCTCCCCCGAACCCCCAGCTTTCTATTGACTCCGCTAACAAAATTCATCATCTAAATGCAAAGTATGACTTATACACAGCAGAATTAATATGGTGCTTATCTATAGACAATACAAGTATGCTGTTGCTTACCTGTTTTTTCTGTTGCAGTTTACTCTATGTGGAGACAGCTGATAGGCCTGGATTACTGGTGGATCTTGTAAAGATCATTACTGACATTAACATTGCTGTTGAATCCGGAGAATTTGACACAGAGGTAAGTAAATCATAGCCAAAAGTGTAAATTTATTTTTTTCAGTCCTAACTCCTAATCATTCAATCTCTGAATGTGTCAATCTGATTATTATTATAAAAATAAAAAAAGAGAAAAGGGATGTCTCAGTTACATATATGAAAGCTTTGGTGTAAAACATAGGGGCTGTTGGCTAAGGCAAAGTTTCATGTCAGCTACAAGGGTAAAGCCATCATCAAGCCTCTCCAGCAGGTAACAATGTTATTGAATGATGAGAAACCAACATTGTCAGTTTCTGAACTCTCAACTGATTAAAATTCATCTCTACCATGTGGCAGGTTCTTGCTAACAGCTTGAGGTATTTCTTGACGCGACCATCAACCGAGGAATCCAGTTTTTGAGTTTGGAATATAACCACGCTGGAATTGCAGGATGCATATTCATTCTGTTTCTTGTTATTCTTCATTTGGAGGACAAATGCAGAATATATTTAACCAAAAGCTGGAGTCATTAACTCTAAAATTTAATAAACTTTGATCGCATTGTAAAGTGACATTCCGATGATTGACCAACCTGGTAAAATAAATAAATAAATAAAGGGTAAATGATTTCTTCAGTCACGGGCTAATAATCGAAGATAAAGTTATCTCCAGCGAGTTTAAAACGACATCGTTTTGGGGCGGAAATCAAGTGTTCTTGTAATTATAATATATTGCAGGGTTATATTAGTCTTTATCATTATTATTTTTTAATCTTATAACCTAAAACGACGTTGTTTTGGGTTTATTGGAGATAACTTTATCTCCGGTGACTAGAAAAATACTTTTCTCATAAATAAAATAATAAATAAGAATTACAAGGCTTTAGTTTACGTAATGCCACTAACAGAAAGAGTGCTGCGAACTAGGTTCCTATGCGTTATAGTTATGTACACAAAGTCATGGTTTTTCGTCAATAATAAGGGAAAATTTTAAAAATTTCCGTGTAAGTTTCTTCGTAATCACTTACCCCATCTCCAAAAATTTTAATCATTTATAACCCTATTTAAAAAAAAATTATCACTTATCCCCTAACTTGATTTTCCAATCCAAAGTTAAAGTTAACAGAGTTAGTTTTTAAAAAAAATAACAAAACTACCCTTAAAGAAAAATAACACATGGACCTTACTGCTAGCAAGAGATAGTCATTGAGGAGTGGAACCCTAATCATTCTGACGCTCCACCGCCCCTGCTTCTGATTAGAAGGTAGATGTTTATATAATTCGGGTTCTGAAAGAAACTCACAGCACTCAAAGATTTGTACCGGTAAATCTCCATTTTATTCGGTTGTATTTGAGTGATTTGTATTCTCTCTCTATAACAAAGAATAAAATGAAGTTTCATATCACAAACCCTATATGAAATCAATGGTATTCAAATGCGATCAATGTAATATATATATATACCATTTTTGAGTTCTTCAATCAACGACCATTAATCAGTGACCATTTGCGAGTTCTTCAATCAGCGAATTCTGCCATTTACGAATACTCAATCAGATATATATATATATATATATATATATATATATATATATATATATATATATATATATGGGGAAAACATTTCTGCAGCCACTTTAGATAAAGTTGTCTACAGCTACTTCATTAAAATTGTATTTTCTCTCTCCGCCACGTCAGCCGATAATGTCTGAGGAAAGAGAAAAAAAGAATAGCTTTATTATTATAACTAAGTATGACCAGTCATACTTAGTTAAAAAAGGGTAGTTGTAGATAACCTTATCTAAAGTGGCTGTAGAAATACTTTTCCATATATTTGTGTGTGTGTGTGTGTAAAAGACAATAACCGACCCCGATCAATAATTCAAATAAAGTGTATTGCAAACACATAAATCGAGATGCAAATGATAAATGGTTAACGAGTTGCAAACGCTAGCAATAATATGTAGAATAACATATTTGGTTGTATATTTTTTTGAACTATTCACTCATTTTTTGTAGGTTACAATGAATGACTATGACGTAGGTCTTCCATAATCACCTCCTATGGATGAAGGGGTTTTATCCATGGTATTAAACTCCCATCGTCCTTTATATCTCATTCATTTTTTTATGTGTTAGTTATATTCTGGGTTTAATTTTTCTTTTTAATGATACATAATTTGAAGAAGATGATAGTGTTGAGTTTGAAAACGATGATGGAGCTGACTTTGGAGATGATATATTTGATGGTGAGGCATTGGTTGAGGATAAAATGAATGAAATTTTTACAAGTCCTCCATGCATTAGCATTTTATAAAGCAACAGCTCTGCACATGTCTAAAGTTATACAAGTCCTCCATGCATTAGCATTTTCTCGTTCTTGGGAATGACCAAGTGATTGAAAATTATCTTCTTCATTTGGTATCAGAGCTATGCATATATGATTATAAGACCCAAATTTTTTTATTTATTAAAATAATTATAAATTTGCATATAGAGCCTAAAGTTCATGCTAAAATTTCGTTTGAAATTTTTTGCAATTGATCTTGCAAACCTTGGGTTTTTGTTCTACGTGATGAGAGTTTTCTAACCATATATCATATGCATATTTTCATTGAGTATTCTAAGAAAATTTTGAATCTGAATTTCTGGATTTTATTACATGAAAGTCTAGAAAATTTCTCAAATTATTTTCAATCGATAAATTGACACCTTAAATTGCTTTGGGGCTTTTGAAAAACAAGTTTTTAGTTATTTATTGACACAAAAAATATTTGAAATGTTTCCTATAGCGAAGGAATTTCGTTCATGAATGTATTGTTACGAAATATAGGGGTCATATTATGAAAGTTTCAGTCTTTCTTTAAATTGATATTGTTTCGTTGATGTAAATCGAAAATTGGTTTGAAGGTTTTGTTCCCCTGCTGTTTTCTCACTGTTTTATGTTGTTTTTAATATAAACATCACACATTTTTGTGCTAAGAAAAATCGTGACCCATAGATTGAAAAATTATTTTCTAAACTTTCAAAAGCTCTCAAAAATAGCTGAAAAAATCTGTTAATTTTATATGGATTATATTATAATCTTGTTGATTTGTTGTTTCTGATTTGTTTTGTGATGAAAATCACTCAAAATCTGCTTTTTTTGAGCTTTAACGAAGCTCTCGTGGCGAAATCTGATTTCGAGCAGGTCAACCCGCCAAAGAAAGAAGAAGACACTGCAATAGAGAAATCTCAAGAAATCCTCAAGGTTAGGGTGAGATTATGATAGAGATATCCTATTTATATTTCTCACTAAAAGGTCTCACGAAATCCACACCAATAGGAAATCCTTTAAAATCGTGAGATTTTTAAATACCACAAGAATCCTGATTGAATACCAACAGATTGGACGGACTCTAAAATAATCTTTAAAAATCCTAATCGAATACCACATGACTTTTTTTCAATCCTTTAAAATCCTAATTAAATATCAATGGATTTTTTTGTCAAAAAAAAATCATTAAAATCCTTTGAAATCTCAATCAAATACACCCCCTTAATTTTATTATTATATTATTTGATAAAATATTAGTTTTGAAATAGTTTGGCATAAATAATGATTTTAGAGTGTCTCAAATTTCATATTTGATTTTAAAAAAGAAAAATTGTAAGTTACCAAGTCCTATTTATTAATGTTTTCATTATTTGTTGATTGGGAATTGTCATTTTCTTTCAAGGAGGTGGAATTAGTGATTCCATATTTCATATAATCAAATTTAAATATAGTTTTTGTTCTGTCGTTAAGACAGATATGTCCAATCTGATGATTGGTATATTTATGTAGAATTTATGTATCCTCTCTCAGATATCTATGAAGGAGATACCAACATAATCAAGGCGTGGAGTGTGTGCACAGTGACAATTAGGAGAGAGAGTTTAGAGTGTGTGTACCTTATATTCGCTTAACCCCTTATTTATACATGGGTATCTGCAGAAGTGAACTTTTGGGCCTCTTAGGAATATATGGGTCTAGTTGTTGATCCATTACTGCTGTAATAGGATTAATATAATTAAAGAATATTTCTTTAATTCTCTCTTAGCCGTTAGCCCTTTTTGGGCCTTCTAGAATATGAGCCTCTATGTCAGGTCGATAACAATTTTCTAACTTATCCTTATTTATTTTAGGGGAAGGATATTGTAACAGTTAATTAATGTTACTACCAATCAATTTCACCGTTAGATCGATTATGTTAATCCAATGATTATATTTGTTCCCTTCTTTTTGTGGATTAAGAATTCTCTCCTCTGGCTCCTCATCGTACTGCCACTGCCACCACCATGTCATCATCATCACCATCGTTGCAGCCACTGCCATCACCACCACTACCATTATCGCTGCCGCCACTATGCCACCACTACCATTATCACGCCACCGCCACCGCCATCACCACTACACCATCGCCACCGCCACCATGTCGTCACCATCACCACCATTACTACCACCACCACCATCGTTACGGCCACTGTTGTCATCACCACCACCTCTACGTCACCGCTACCATTACCACCACCACCACCACTACCATCGCTGTCACCACCATTATCACTACCATCATCGCAGCTATTACCGTCACCACCCCCACACCACTACCACCACCATGCCACCATTACCACTGTTGCCACTGTCACCGTGCCATCACCACTATTGTCACCGTCGCCACCACCATTCCATCACCTCCACCACCACCACCATGACGCCACCGCTATCGCCACCACCGCCACCACCACCACAACACCACTACTACAACCACCACCACCACCACACCATATGAAAAGGAAAGTGATGATCCGAAAAAATTTTGCTTAATAGGAATAATTTTTTGTTCTATTATTTGTTGTGTTATCATACGCAATTCTCATTCGCGGAATAAAAATAAAACATGTTATCAAACACATTTTTTTTCTAGAAATTGTTCCAAGGCACAGAAATAGAAAAGAATTATTTCTTTTCATAAACAGTGCTAGGGAACAGAATGGTTGTGATGCACACCCTAATTCCACATTTCAATCGATGCAATTATTTGAAGATCTTAATTGAATTGCTAATGTTACCAAACAGACACTTGACAAGATCTTCAATTGATTTGCAGATCTTCATATCTTAAGCTGCTCGAGATAATTTTATCTCCGGCTACTAAATCATAATCATACAAAGAGAGATCAATGGTGATAAAGGAAGAGAGAAAAAAAGGGAATCATAACCATTCAAAGGTGAATTAATTAATATAAGGAAATAAATAAACAAAACGACGTAGTTTTGGGGTAGTCGGAGATAAACTTATCTCAAGTTGCCGGAGAAATATTTTTTCCATATATATATATATATATATATATATATATATATATATATATATATATATATATATATATATATTACAAGTATGAAGATAAGGGTAAATATTTCTTGTAATTTTTACAGCGACCTTATAGGGGTAAATATTTCTACAGCCACCCCAAAAACTACGTCATTTTGATTAATGAAGGGAGTTTATGTAATTTTAGGTGAATTAATTAAGGGTGTTTTCGTAATTTTATTTATTTATTTATCATATACATTTTACTGAAACACCCTTCAATAATTCACCTAAAATTACATAAACACCCTTCATTAATCAAAACGACGTAATTTTTGGGGTAGCTGTAGATAACATTATCTAAAGTAGCTGTAGAAATATTTTTTTCCATATATATACAGTGGTCGGGCACCAATTTGAGCCCGGGCCAAAAAATTATGTGTATTTATTTTTCTTAATTTTAGTTAGTTCATATCATAATATATTTAAATTATATTAAATATAGAGCACCTAAGCAAGCAGCACTAAGAAGAGTTATAATTTTATTAAATATTTTTTAATTTTACAAAAAAAAAATTATACAAGTGAAAATTGAACACATAACCTAATACTACTTACCCAAATCTTTCACCAAAAATATTTTAAGTTTTAGATAGGGCCAAATTATAAATTGTAGCCCGGGCCAAATTATAATTTTAACCCAAGCCAAATTATGATTAATTATATAATTATACATGATAAGTACAATTTGTTAAAATTTAGCACGACCGAGGCCACTTCAGTAATTCACTTAAAATTACAGAAACACTCTTCATTAATCAAAACAACGTAATTAATTTACTTAAAATTACAGAAACACCCTTCATTAACCAAAATAACGTAATTTTTGGGATAACTGTAGATAACTTTATCTAAAGTGGCTGTAAAAATATTTATCCCTATATATATATGTGTGTGTGTGTTTGTGTAATTTTCTTTTTTTTTTTACCTCTTATTTGTAGGATTTACCATTAGGGTTTGAAATTGTGGACCTTTTTGCCTCCAAAGCCCATATGCTATGATGTCATATCTATGTCAATATCTTGGATTAATATCCTTCTTTGATTGTATGTCAGGCCATACATTAAAGGGAAAAGTGTTTATCTTTTTAAATGAGACAACTTATATTCTTTCACTCTCACAAAAAGGTGAGATCCACACCTTTATTTTTTTATCAACTTTCTCTCCTCCTTTATCTATCTCTTTCTCTCTCTTAAAATGACACAACTTTACATCCTTCAAAATGACACATATTTTTTCCTACATTGGGGGTGTATTGGATTGAGATTTCAAAGGATTTTAATGGATTGTTATAGACAAAAAATCTGTTGGTATTCGATTAGAATTTTAATGGATTGAGAAAAAGTCACATGGTATTTGATTAGGATTTTAAAAGATTATTTTAGAATCCGTTCAAATCCGTTGGTATTCAATCGGGATTTTAAACAATGGAATTACAATCTCGTGGTATTCAAAAATCTGACGATTTTAATGGATTTTCTATTGGTGTGAATTTCGTGAGACTTTTTAGTGAAAATATAATTAGGATGTCTCTCTCGCAATCTCACCATAACCCCTAGGATTTCTTGAGATTCTTTTGTTACAGTGTTTTCTTCTTCCTTTGGTAGGTTGACTGCTCAAAATTGGGTTCCGTCGTGAGAGCTTCGTCAAAACTAAAAAAAAAGTATATTTTTGAGCGATTTTCATCAAAAAAACAACCTAGAAACAACAAACCAACAAGATTCTAATATATAATCTATCTCAAAAATAACTTATTTTTTAGCCATTTTTGAGAAATTTTGAAAGTTTAAAAAGTGATTTTTCAAGCTATGGATAGCAATTTTTCTTGGCACATAAATGTGTGATTTTTGTATTAAAAATAACATAAAACAGTGAAAAAATAACAGGAGAACTAAAACCCTAAAACCAATTTTCGTTTTACATGAATGAAACAATATTAATTTAAAGAAAGATTGAAACTTTCATAGCATGAACCCTATATTTCGTAACAATACATTCATGAATGAAATTCCTTCACTATAGAGAACTATTTCAAACAATTTTTGTGTCAATAGATAACTAAAAGCTTGTTTCTCAAAAACCCCAGAGCAATTTATGGTTTCAATGTATCGATTGAAAATTTTTTGAGAAATTTTCTAAACTTTCATGTAATTAAACCCAAAATTTTAGATTCGAAATTTTTTTAGAATATTCAATGAAAATATGCATATGATATATTGTTAGAAAACTCTCTTCACGTAAAACAAAAACCCCAAGTTTTTCAAGATCAATTGTAAAAAATTCCAAACGAAATTTTATTATGAACATTAGGTTCTATATGCAAATTTAGAATTATTTTTATAATTAAAAAAATTGCGTCTTATAATCATATATGCATAGCTTTGATACCAAATGAATAAGATAATTTTTTGTGAAAAGCTGTTGTTTAGTAATTTTAAATGTTTGTTAAAAACCATATTATGTTTTAATGATTGAGAAAATTATATTAGATTTTAATTTTTTTATTAATTTTATTGCATTTCTTTGTTATTTTTTTATAGGGAAGATTATTATTACAATCTATTTATGTTTACAACCATATCTTAACCGTTGATTTCCGTCAATAAACAGTTATTATTTTCGTAAATCAAACTCATTAATTATTATTTAATTTACAATAAATGGTAACCGTTTTAAGATATGGATGTTAAATATTGTAAACAAAAAAAGGTTGTAAGAACTACAAAAAAAAAAAAAAAAAAGTTGTAAGTATAACATTTTCCTTTTTTATTGACTCTTGTAATTTTGAATGTTTGTTAAAAATTCATATGACTTTTTAAAATCTTATAAATTTATATTGTCCTTTCAAATCTTATAAAATCTATTAAAACCCTTTAAGATCCAATCTTATGAAATCTTGATTGTAAAAAAAGTTTTTAAAGTCTCTCCAATTCGAAATAGTCTTTTAAAATCTATAACATTTTTTACTTCAAAGAAATCTTTTAAAATCCTAATTTAAAATCTATAAGATTTTAAAAAATCATATATATTTTAAACGAACGTTCAAAATTACAACCGTAGAAAAAATCTTTTAAAATCCTAAACGGGCCTCGGGCCTTTGTAAGAATTACATATAGTACACTTATCACAACAACGAGAGTAATATCGACTCCCTTATTTTTTGTGGAATAAGAATTCTCTCCTCCGGCTCCTTATCTTCTCGTGAAACAGTGAAGGTATGATCTTTTGTTCTGCCTCACAATTCTTCTTTTTATTTGTGTATTATTATAATGGGTCCGTTTTTTCTGTCTTAGCACTTAAACTAAATTCACTGTATAATATTATTTGATATGATGACCAGGATGGAAAACAAAAACAAGAAGCAGAGACTCATGAGCCCAGATTGGTCGGAGACGCCAACAGACATCATAGAGATGATTTACAAGTGCTTAGAATTTCCGGATCAAGCTCGATTTGGCAGCGTATGCAAGAGTTGGTATTCTTGTACCTACAACAAACCCCACCTTGCAGTTCCAAACAGTACCCCTTGGTTAATTGATGACCAATATAGAAGTTCACAATACAATCTTTTTATTAGCCCCTCTCATAGTCAAAAGGACTTTAAGATCTACAAACCATTTAGGCCTTTCAGTGATTCCTTCATTTACGAATCTATCAAGGGCTGGTTAGTTATCCAATCTCAAGTAAAAGTATTTATTGTCAACTTGTTCTCAAGTGTTCGAATTGAACTCCCTCCTCGTACCACGATGCCCGATTTCCCCAAGTCAAAGGGAAACAATATTGTTAGTGGCATGGACACTCCTGTGACTTTCACAATTTCAACATGTGTCCATTCAAATCCTATCATGGTTGCAGCTGTTACTTGGGGTGGGGACTTGATATGGTGCAAGATAGGATCAGCCAAAGCATGGAAAGGCTATCGGGGTGATAAAGAATATGGTAATCTCACTTTTTATAATGACAAACTTTATGCTGTTACCGGAGATGGTACAAAAGTTGATATATTTCGAGTTGATGATGAATCATCAGTGCTCTTTTTGTTGCAAAGTATAGATTCTATGCAGCCAACCAATGATCTATTAGTTTATTTGCACGTATATTTGGTGGTGTCTAATGAAGATGTTTTGGTTGTGAAGAGGTATTATGATCATCGTCGTGAATTAAGAGTTTTTGAGGAGCCAACGATTGGCTTTGATATTTTCAAGGTACAAGAAAACTGTATCCCACCAAACCTCGTGAATGTGGACACCTTGGGAGACCAAGCTTTGTTTCTAAGTGCCTTGAATTGTGAATCTCTTCCAGCTAAAGAGTGCTCTCGTGAAGAAGGCTGCATATACTTCATTGACACCTTCACACGCAGTAATGCACCTCTATTTAAAACTTTCTCAGTTAAAGACAGGAGTCTGCGTAATCCTCTTCCTCTTCCCAATATGGAATATCCAATTTGGGTCTTGCCAAGGTTTGCATTTACGTGTAACTGCACATGTCGTCATGGTTCTACACTATGGAAGCCCAAGAAAAAGAAAAAATACGCAAAGCGCAAAACTAATGTTGTGTGAGTTTAGGCCTGGGATTTGGATCTTGTGTACTTTGTGAGAGATAAATAATTATCAATGCAATTTTTTTTTTATTGTTTTGATTACTTTCAAGGTTAGGTTTTATTCAACTCTAAAACTTATCACAAGAGCCTACGAGTCCGTGTCTTAATTTGTGTTGTTCATGAGCATGTCGAATGAAGTGAAAGGATTCAGATTAAGTTTAGTTTACAAGTCTTTTCCATTTTCTACGTCTTTTGGGTTTTCTTCGTGATTGTTTGTTTACCTTCATTCGTGGTTGGCTATCTTGGCCGATTGTTATATAGTTTGGCACGCGAGTTACAGAAAGTTAAAAAAATCCAAACTTTAAATTTTAAAAATAAGTACGAAATTTGTTGGTTGAGATTTTGTTGATTAGTACGAAATTTGTTATTTTTTTTGGAAAACAAAAGAATTTTTTTGAATTCCACTGAATCAGGTTAATAAAAATCCAGATTTCGATGCCATAGATTTAAATTAATTGCCTGTCACCATTCAGAATTCAAAATCAAATTTAAAATTTCAAGTTAAAATTCAAATTCAAACTTGGAAATTAAATGAGCAGTCAGATATACATTAATGAGCTGTCTGCCACCAACATTAACAACAAATCTTTACCATTGATTTAAATCAAAAAATCTTGTCCATAGAATTAATCTTGAAAAATTGATTTTGTTTTATATTTACTTTATTCACTGATTTAACAAAGAAGGAAAGATTTTTAAAATTCTGTAGTGTGAACACAAAGCTGAAAGTGAAGGAGAAAGCGACACATCAGCAAACTTTCCAAAGTTTGAATTCCATTTATTTTCTTTTTTTTAGATTTAAATTTAAATTGTAGGTTTGAATGTTTTTAGTAGTTATAATTGTTATTTTTATGGAAAAAATCAGAAATTTGTTGAATTCCACTTAATCAAGGTTAATAAAAATTCAAATTTTAAACTGCAAAAATAAGGATCAAATGTTCTAATCAAATTTATTATTTTTATACATTCAAACCGTAGATTGGGTTCTTTCGAGTATTTAGAAAATATTTTTAGTTTTCAAAAGTTGTAAATTCTAGAATTACACTGAATCAAGGTTAAAAAAAAAAAATCCAAACTTTAATCTTTAAAAATAAGTACGAAATTTGTAGGTTGGAATTTTGTTGATTAGTACGAAATATTTTTTTTTGAAAAATAAAAGTAAATTTTTGAATACCACTGAAAATGTTTGTTGAAAATGTAGAGAAGGAAAAGGGATTAGGGAATATCAAAAAAGGGTGTTAGTAAAAAATCAAATTTTTAATTTTAAAAAATCAGAACCGAAAGTTTGAATTCCAGTTTTTTTTTTTTAGATTTGAATTTAAATTGTAGGGTTGGATGTTTTTAGTATTTAAAATTGCATTTTTTGTGGGAAAAAACAGAAATTTGTTGAATTCCACTTAATCAAGATTAATAAAAATTCAAATTTTAAACTGCAAAAATAAGGAACAAATATGTTAATCAAATTTATACATTTAAACCGTAGGTTGGGTTATTTCGAGTAATTAGAAAATATTTTTAATTTCTCAAAAATTGTAAATTTTTGAATTACAGTGAATTAAGGTTAAAAAAATCCAAACTTTAAATTTTAAAAATAAGTACGAAATTTGTAGGTTGGGATTTTGTTGATTAGTACGAAATTTGTTATTTTTTTTGGAAAACAAAAGAATTTTTTTGAATTCCACCGAATCAGGTTAATAAAAATCCAGATTTCGATGCCATAGATTTAAATGAGTTGCCTGTCACCATTCAGAATTCAAAAATCAAATTTAAAATTTTAAGTTAAAATTCAAATTCAAATTTGGAAATTAAAAGAGCAGTCAGATATACATTAATGAGTTGTCTGCCACCAACATTTACAACAAATCTTGACCATTGATTTAAATCAAAAAATCTTGTCCATCGAATTAATCTTGAAAAATTGATTTTGTTTTATATTTATTTTATTCACTGATTTACCAAAGAAGGAAAGGCTTTTAAAATTTTATAGTGTGAACACAAAGCTGAAAGTAAAGGAGAAAGCGACACGTCAGCAAACTTGCCAAAGAATGGAATTCCTTTAGAATAATAGATTCTTTAAAAAATGTGAAGTTTTTGAATTAAACTGAACAAATATTTAAAAAACAAAGATAACGACAAAGAGTGATTTAGTAGTTATAAATCAATGAATATCCCGTTTTTTTAATAGTCATTTCATGGAATAAAACAGTCATTTGTTTTAATAACAATGAATATCCCGTTTTTTTTTTCAAAAAATGTAAAGATTTGAATTAAACTGAATAAAGGTTAAAAAAAACGATTAGATTACATGATCAACATCAATTATTTAAAAAACAAAGATGACGACAAAAGAGTGATTTAGTAGTTATAAATGATATTTTCATGGAATAAAACAGAAGTTTTTTCTAATAACAAAACACTCATACCTGATTCCACTGAATCAAGAGGTTAATAAAAGATTCAAATTTAAAAATCTGAAAATAAGGAACAAAGGTAGGGAAATGTATGAGTGTTTTTTTTTTACTAATTAATTTTTTTTTCGAGTAAATAGAATTGTATTCTTTAAAAAATGTAAAGTTTTTGAATTAAACTGATTAAAGATTAAAAAAACAAAATTAGAACCTACTTAAAAAGAACAAACGAATACATTAATAAACACAAACGAATAAGCAATCTTGACCATTGATTTAAAGTAACAAATCCTGTCCATTGAAAATATAATTCTTTTTTGTATTTATTATATTCACTGATTTACCATTAAAGGAAACTTTTTTAAAATTTGTAGTGTGAACACAATGGTGAAATTGAACCACAGTGCGACACGTCAGCAAGGTTTCCACAGAATGAAATTCCTTTATAATATAAGATTTTATTGCATTTCTTTGTTTTTTTTTATAGGGAAGATTATTATTACAATCTATTTATGTTTACAACCATATCTTAACCGTTGATTTCCGTCAATCAACAGTTATTATTTTCGTAAATCAAACTCATTAATTAATATTTAATTTACAATGAATGATAACCGTTTTAAGATATGGATGTTCAATATTATAAACAAAAAAAGGTCGTAAGAACTACAAAAAAAAAAGTTATAAGTATAACATTTTCCTTTTATTGACTCTTGTAATTTTGAATGTTTGTTAAAAATTCATATGATTTTTTAAAATCTTATAAATCTATATTGTCCTTTCAAATCTTATAAAATCTATTAAAACCCTTTAAGATCCAATCTTATGAAATCTTGATTGTAAAAAAAGTTTTTAAAGTCTCTCCAATTCGAAATAGTATTTTAAAATCTATAAAAAAATTTACTTCAAAGAAATCTTTTAAAATCCTAATTTAAAATCTATAAGATTTTAAAAAATCATATGAATTTTTAACGAACGTTCAAAAATACAACCGTCAAAAAAATCTTTTAAAATCCTAAACGGGCCTCGGGCCTCGGGCCTTTGTAAGAATTACATATAGTACACTTATCACAACAACGAGAGGAATATCGACTCCCTTATTTTTTGTGGAATAAGAATTCTCTTCTTTCAATATCAAAATCTCCTCCGGCTCCTCATCTTCTCGTGAAACAGTGAAGGTATGATCTTTTGTTCTGCCTCACAATTCTTCTTTTTATTTGTGTATTATTATAATGGGTCCATTTTTTCTGTCTTAGCACTTAAACTAAATTCATTGTATAATATTATTTGATATGATGACCAGGATGGAAAACAAAAACAAGAAGCAGAGACTCATGAGCCCAGATTGGTCGAAGACGCCAACAGACGTCATAGAGATGATTTACAAGTGCTTAGAATTTCCGGATCAAGCTCGATTTGGAAGCGTATGCAAGAGTTGGTATTCTTGTACCTACAACAAACCCCACCTTGCAGTTCCAAACAGTACCCCTTGGTTAATTGATGACCAATATAGAAGTTCACAATACAATCTTTTTATTAGCCCCTCTCATAGTCAGAAGGACTTTAAGATCTACAAACCATTTAGGCCTTTCAGTGATTCCTTCATTTCCGAATCTATCAAGGGCTGGTTAGTTATCCAATCTCGAGTAAAAGTATTTATTGTCAACTTGTTCTCAAGTGTTCGAATTGAACTCCCTCCTCGTACCACGATGCCCGATTTCCCCAAGTCAAAGGGAAACAATAATGTTAGTGGCATGGACACTCCTGTGACTTTCACAATTTCAACATGTGTCCATTCAAATCCTATCATGGTTGCAGCTGTTACTTGGGGTGGGGACTTGATATGGTGCAAGATAAGATCAGCCAAAGCTTGGAAAGGCTATCGGGGTGATAAAGAATATGGTAATCTCACTTTTTATAATGACAAACTTTATGCTGTTACCGGAGATGGTACAAAAGTTGATATATTTCGAGTTGATGATGAATCATCAGTGCTCTTTTTGTTGCAAAGTATAGATTCTATGCAGCCAACCAATGATCTATTAGTTTATTTGCAAGTATATTTGGTGGTGTCTAATGAAGATGTTTTGGTTGTGAAGAGGTATTATGATCATCGTCGTGAATTAAGAGTTTGTGAGGAGCCAACGATTGGCTTTGATATTTTCAAGGTACAAGAAAACTGTATCCCACCAAACCTCGTGAATGTGGACACCTTGGGAGACCAAGCTTTGTTTCTGAGTGCCTTGAATTGTGAATCTCTTCCAGCTAAAGAGTGCTCTCGTGAAGAAGGCTGCATATACTTCATTGACACCTTCACACGCAGTAATGCACCTCTATTTAAAACTTTCTCAGTTAAAGACAGGAGTCTGCGTAATCCTCTTCCTCTTCCCAATATGGAATATCCAATTTGGGTCTTGCCAAGGTTTGCATTTACGTGTAACTGCACATGTCGTCATGGTTCTACACTATGGAAGCCCAAGAAAAAGAAAAAATACGCAAAGCGCAAAACTAATGTTGTGTGAGTTTAGGCCTGGGATTTGGATCTTGTGTA